TAGCAAGACCCTGTCTCCACAAAAAATTAAAAAAAAAAAATCAACCTGGCATGATGATGTGTGCCGGTAGTTCTAGCTATCTGGAAGGCTGAGGGGGGAGGATCACTTGAGCCTAGTTGGAAGTTGCAGTGATCTGTTATCATACCACTGTACCTTAGCCTGGGCAACAGAGTAAAACGTTGTCTCAAAAAAAAAAACACACACACACAAAACAATAAATAAGGGCAGCACTTGTGGCTCAGTGGGTAGGGCGCCAGTCCTATATACCTAGGGTGGTGAGTTCGAACCCGGCCAAACTGCAACAAAAAATAGCTGGTCGTGGGGTGGCACCTGTGGCTCAGAGGAGTAGGGCGATGGCCCCATATGCTGGAGGTAGCAGGTTCAAACCCAGCCCCAGTTAAAAAACTGCAAAAAAAAAAAAGAAAAAAAAAGCTGGTTGTTGTGGTAGGTGCCTATAGTCCCAGCTACTCAGGAGGCTGAGACAAAAGAATCGCCTAAGCCCAAGAGCTAGAGGTTGCTGTGAGCTGTGATGCTATGGCACTCTACCGAAGGTGATAAAGTGAAACTCTGTCTCTAATAAATAAATAAACTTAATAACCTGTCTCCAGAGACCAGACCCTTAACCCTCTTACGTACTTTGCAATGGGCCAGGCGTGGTAGCTCACGCCTGTTGTCCAAGCGCTATGGGTGGATCACCTGAGCTTAGCCAAGTTCGAGACCAGTTAAAGACCAGCATGAGCCAGAGTGAGACCCTGTCTCTACAACAACAATGAAAAAAAACAGCCGGACCTTGTGATCCCAGCTACATGGGGGGCAAAAGAACACTACAGTAGGAAAAAGTAAAAAAAAAAAAAAAGTACTTTGCAGTGGTGTATATTTGTTTTTCTTTTCCACTTTCCCCACTAACATGAGGTCCCTGACAAATGACAAAGACAAGTCATTTCTATATACTCAGTCTGCAGCCAGAACAGACACCACCATATGTTGGCATATAAAAAAGAGAAAGGCAGCTCTTGACCCCTAAGGGCCTGCCTGACACTTAACAGCTGGGCCTTGGCTTCTCCTGTTGAACATAAACAATTTCAAAGAATATCAACCACAGACAAGGCCACTCTATGACCGTGAAGGATCAAAGGACATATAAGATCACTGTAATTATGTCTGAACACAGACCCCCCAAAAGGACATTGTCTAAGCCAAGAAAAAGACCAACCATTCCCATCCTTGCTAATATAAGGCTGTCACTTCTTACCTATGACAGCTTTAGCCTTAGTCTAGTCCTAGACAAACTTTATTAACACGCCCAGTCACAGAATTACCCGTGATCTTGACAGCATCTAATCCAAAGCCAAGCCCTGCTTCTTTCATTATCTAACAGAGCCCAAATTCTGTAAGTAGTTCTTTCTTTCTTACAGCCTCTTCTAAGATCCCCCC